TTTGGTTTGAATATTGTTATTTTTTATTTTTTTATTTTATGTAAAATTTATACGTTATTTTAAATTCCTTAATAATTACATATACATTAATTTTTTAAAAAATTATAAAAAAATAAATCATTATAAAACATACGGAATTTGATATAGAATCATTAATTACGTATACAAACCTTATAAAAAACGTATCATTTCTTTATTTCAATTTCTTATAGGATTACCTGTATTAACAGAGCAAGGTATAATTGCTGTAGATATTATAGACGGTAGTTGTACAAAAAAAGATTTAAAGAATTTGTAGTTTTATAAGTAGTAAGTATTTTATACAATATTTAAATTATTTTATATTTGTGTTTAATAATTTACTAATATTATTTTGTAGTTGCCACAAATGAATTCTTTTTCAAGCAAAAATAATGATTTAGTTCTTGATAATACTAAAATACATTATGATCAAGAACTTCTTGATTATTTAGATACATTTGGTGTAAAAGTTGAATTTTTACCTCCTTATTCTCCTGATTTTAATCCTATTGAAGATACTTTTTCTACAATTAAACAATATTTACAAAAAAATAAATATTTTGTAGAAATTAGTTATAATCCTATTTATCCTTTACTTATAGCGTGTTCTCAAATTATCTCTTAAATGGTTAAAGGTTATTTTAGGAAATGTAGGTATTTTTAAAATAGAAAATATTTTTTTTATAACATTAGAATAAAATATTTGAATAAAAAAAATTGATAATGATGTTAAAAAAGATTTTACAAATAAATTTCAATTTATTATATATGATAAAATAAGACAAATTTATTTATTTATATTTGAGCAGTTTTTCTAATAGTTTCAATATCTCCAATTGCTATTACTCCACAAGTTTCAAATTGTATATCATTCAATTTATTCAAATGTTTAATCTTAATTCTTTATTTTTTAAATCCTTTCAAAATATTAGAATAATAATTTTCCATTTTCTCTGTTTTATCTATTTGCTGCAAAAATTCAGCTATTGAAGGTATAGATTGTTGTAATAAAGTTGATTGTGATTCTATAGAATTATTAAACATTGAAGAAGATGAAGGTTGTAATGGTGGCTGTTGAATAAAATGCAGAGTAACTAATATTTGTAAAAGGATAGAAAAAAAAGGATTAATTGAATCTTATACATTATTAGAAAATTGAGGTAAATTTCTATTTTTTGATGAATGTATATATCTAAATGAAGGATGTGTTGGTGGTTCTTTAGCTGATTCAAGACCATTAAAATAAAATATTTCAAAAAAACAAAGTATAATTAACAAGGTTAATTATCATTAATTAATTATAAATTTAAATAATTTACCATTTCTGTAACTCAAGTTAAAAATATCATATTGCTTATTTCAACATGAGATTCATGATCATTTAAGCAATATCTGTTGTGAATAGAACATCAAGTTTCATTTTGTAACTCTATAACATTTTAGCAATCCTTTGGTCAATTATAGAAATATTTGATACTTTCAGATTGCTAATCTTTGGAATTGATTCATCACAAATTACTTCTTTACCATTTGAATATGATTCCTAATCAAAAAAATAAGTAGTTTCAATAATTTTTTTTAAAATATAATAAAAGAAGTATAAATAAATTTACCTTTGTCTTTTATTTAACTAGCTTTTCCTTTTTTTTTATAATAATAAGAATAAGCATAATTGTCTTTGTTGCTATAAGTTTAAGATATTCTAATCGAAAATTTTCAAAATCACATACATCCACTAATAAAGTACTAGCTCCTTGAGCCTTTTCCGATTTAAAAGAAATATTATAATCATTAGCATTAATTTCTTCATCTTTAAGAAAAGTTGTAATATTATTTTAAATTACAAGTAACAATTCATCTAATTTAGAAATTGTAATTGAATAGTTTTTAGGTGAAAGAACAGAACAATCAGCTTGTTTAATAATAAGTTTGTAATTAATTTCCATTTCTAGTTCAGAATCATTTTCATTTTCAGTTTCTGAATTATTTTGTCTAGATTCACTTCGAATTATTGTAGATACTTCAGAAGAACTGGTTTCAAAATCAATAATTTCTGTAGTTTTTGTTTGTTCTATTTTTCATGTTGAATTTGAGTAACTATCAGATAATCATTGATAATGGCTATTACATTTTGTATAAAGTAAAAATTGAATGCTTATTGTTAGGTTATATCTATATTGAAAGTGCTCATTTTTATCTTTAATGAAATTAAGTTTTTTAGTATTAAAAGAGATAGGATCAAATACTCTTGAAATGCAGTTTTGATAATAGCTGTTCTATTTTTTTTTGGTTGGTTTAGTGGCTTTTTTTGCATTTACATATATCCTTTATCAAATCTATATCACAATATAAACATTTTTGACATTCAAAACATATTCCAATTTTATACTTTTTTTTTACCATTTTTTTTGTATTGCAAAATTTGAAATAATTTTATTAATCATGTAAAATCTGAAATTTTATGTTAATCATCATGTGAAATCTGATTATCTGATTGCTTTAACATTATGCAGTATAAAAATCGGCCAATCGCACTAAATTGAAAACAGTGATAATTAAATAGTGAGATCCAGTACGTATCAAATATCAGCTAAAGACTTAAGTTTTTTTAAAAAATAAGTTGTATATTTATGAATTTTATTAATAAAATTATTACTTTTATATAAATATATCATTAATTCATGTATAAATAAATCAGAATCACCAAATTTTATTATAATAAAATAAATATTTAGCTTGCATATTAAAACATTTATAATCGAACTTATACCTAAAATTCTAAAATCAATAAGATCTAAAAATGCAATATTTAAAGTATTTCATTGTATTAAATATAAAACAAATTACATAAGTTTGCAATAATATTTTTATTAACTTATGACTGATCTAATGCAATTAATAGCAGGCAATAATACAAGAATTATATATATTTATAAATTAACCTAAATAACTATTTTAGTAAAGAGTTATATTCTTTTGTTTGATATTTCAAAAAAACTACTTACTGATCAGCTGCTTTCTAAATTTATTATAAAAAAAACTTAAAGGCTGAATGTAATCAGTGATGACTTGCATTGTCATATTATTTTTAAAGTTCAATAAATTAGAATCAATTTTTATATTAAATATAATAAAACAATATACAGTCAGACCTCTATATTATCACACAATTAGTTCCACCAAAATCAGTAATTATTAGTGATACCTGACGAAATTACCTTTCTTAATATGATGAAATTGACGAAACTGAAATGATGAGACTAGTTTTTTATTAATGACAAAATTATTTTACTTAATTGCCGAAATTATATTTAACTTGATCTAAATTCCTTGAAT